ACACACACACACACACACACAAAAAAAAAAAAAAAAATATATTTTTTTTTTTATATATATATACACTTTCTTTATTTTTTTATTTATATATATATATATATATATATATATATATATATATCTCTCTTTTTTTTTCTCTCTCTCAAACACACACACAACACACAAATATATATATCTCTCTCTCTCTCTCTCTCTCTCTATATATATATATATATATATATATATATATATATATATATATATATATATATATATATATATATATATATATATATTTATATGTGTTCACTTTAATAAGACTTCAGTTTATTAGCAGGAGCTACTGATTGATATTAATTATAGTTTGCCTTTGCCTTATGTTGAAACTCTCGAACAAATGGAATGGGATGAATGTAATAACTAACATATGTAATAATAAATAACAGATTATATGAAGTGAATCCATTTGTAAATGAAAAAAATAATTCATTCATTTTCCTTTGGCTTAGTCCCTTTATTTATCAGGGGTCTCCACAGTGGAATGAACTGCCAACTTATCCAGCATATGTTTTACACAGCAGATGCCCTTCCAGATGCAACCCAGTATTGGGTAACACCCAAACACACACTCATTATTCGTGACTTGTGTAAGAATATTTTGACGATAAAACATATTTTTTAATAGAATCTATATTTTTTACATTTTTATTCAGGAGATGTTTTAAGGGAAATGTGTATTATGAATAGGAATTTTAGAATATCATTGATCAAACTAATAGATTGTATATGACTCTTTTCAGTGTTGTTATTTGTATATTTTTTGTGCAATCAACCTTTATTTAGAACTGATATGATTGCATTGTATATTTCGTATAGGCTTTGCCATGAATATAGCCAATACTGCTGATATGGCATTAAAAACATCAATCAATCAATCAATTAATCAATCAATTAATATATCAATCAATCAATTAATCAATCAATCAATATGTCAATAAATTTATAAATCAATCAATAAATTAATAAATAAACCAATAAATTAATAAATCAATAAAATAAATCTGTAAATTAATAAATCATTAAATTAATTAAATAATAAATCAATGTCAATCAATAAATTAATTAAATAATAAATAAAAAAATAAATCAATAAATGAATGAATAAATAAATAAATAAACCAAGAAATTAAATCCATAAATAAATCAATAAATTGATCAATAATCAAATCAATAAATAAAATAGTAAATAAATGAATTAGTCAATGAATAAATCTATAAATAAATCAATAAATAAAACAGTAAATAAATTAACAGCTCGGTAAATAAATCAATAAATTAATCAATAATTAAATCAATATATCAATAAATTAATAAGTCAATAAATAAATCAATAAATTAAAAACAAATCAACAAATAAATCAATCAATAAATCAATAATTAAATGAACAAATTAATTAATAAATCAATAAATTAATCAATAAATTAGTAAATGGATAGATCAACAAATAAATACATTAATAAATCAATCAATGAATAAATCAATAAGTCAATAAGTAAATCAATAAATTAATAATTCCATTAATCAATAGATAAATCAATAAATGAATCAATCAATAAGTCAATAAATCAATCAGTAAATTAATCAATAAGTAAATAAATAAATCAATGAATAAATAAATTAATAAATAATAAATCAATCAATCAATAAATCAACCGATCAATTAATTAATAAATCAATCAATAAATAAACTGATTAATAAATAAAAAAATTGTAAATCAATCAGTAAATCAATAAATCAATAAATAATCAAACAATAAATCATTCAATAAATAAATAAATAAATATATCAATAAAAAATCAATAAATTATTCAATAAAATTAATAAATCAATCATTAAATGAGCAAATAAATGAATAAATAAATAGAAACTCTCAAACCGCCTGCAAACATATGAATGTAAATGAATCTGAGTCTGCTTTGGCTGCCGCACACAGTCTTTTTATTTATTTGATCTTAATCATTTATTATGTTTTTCTGGGCTGATATAGAAAGTGTTGCGCAACACGAGACTATTTCTAATCTGTCTACATCCAGATAGTCCTGCTTGAGAGAGAAGAAAAATAATGTTATCACATGCTCACACTCCTACAGCCTCAGTCACGCTTGAGAATAGATGACAGCTGTGCAGACATTATTATTGTAGGGTTCAGTGGATATCTATGGCTATTTTTACATGAGGTTAAACTGCGGTTTCCGTGTGTTTTTACACGTTGCCTTTTGTCTGGTTGACATCAAATCTTGTTGACCTAATTAAGCATGAAGAATTGACATTGGTCGTCAGCTAAATAGAGAACTCTGATTGGTTATTTCAGCAACAAATCAGAGTACGAGTGTGACATAGTGAAGTGACATAGCAAGTAAACAATTCAAGCCAATAGATACATACACTAGATATCGCATAGGGACCCTGAGCATGCGGCAATAGCGCCGCCATATTTGTACAGTGCTCCCAGAACAAGTGTCATTCAACCGCACAAGTCAAAGACAGTGTTACTACATGAAGATGCTGGACTTTAGCGCTGTCTACGGGTGTAGTAACGAGCAAACAAAGAAAACAAAGCACAAAGGCACAACATTTCATAGGTAACATTTTAGTATTTTACGTTTTTGTATGTTATAGACTTTTGTGCTAAGCAGGTAATGTTTTTGATGATAATACAGTCACTTACTGCTTTTTTGTAGGTATTGGCATGTTTGATATGTGTGACAGTTTTTGTATGTGTGCGCAAAACGTAGCTCCGGGGCCACTCTGTCAAAAGTGCATAGGTAGCATTGTTGCATTTTGCTTCACCCACTTCTGAAACCCATAACAAACGTAACATTTTCGCCACTTCAGAGGCGTGCGCAAAGTTTTGTGAGTTATCAAGCATGTTTAGACCCTGATGATGAAAATGGGGCAATTCCAATAGGGCCTATGCACCATTGGTACTCAGTCCCTAATTAGAGAACACTTTAATGCAACAGTTGGTAAGTTAGTTGTTAACTTTTAGCTGCATCTGCAGGTTGTCAGAATAAAAACAAGCTTTTCAGCCATTACGAAGAGCTGCTCAAACCAGATTTGTTATTTCTGTAATACTGGACGTTTTCACGAACAGGCTGGCTGTCATAAATAAACGTAGCAGAGGACAGGAGAATGTGGACAATGTCAATTTAAAACATCAGCTGAAACTGATCTGCAATTCGGCTCTGAACAGGGTCAAGATCTCTGTCTTTATCCAACAGCGTCTAGACTGAAAGCCACTGTAAGAAAAAAGGAAAGAAAACATCAAAGACCAGACTAACATTTACTGAGGAGTGTGTTGTGTCTACACAGAACTGGTCCAAACATTCACTTCAGTGATGAAAGTCTAATTGAGATTTACTGATTTACAGTTACTCCTTTAGCAGATGCTTTCATTCAAAGCGACTTACAAAACATCCGTTTTGCACACTCATCTGATTTTTTTTTTGCTTATTAGATTGAGGTTAAAGAACATCCGTGAAACAAGTGAACATCTGATGGCAATTTACTTCTCTCTTCACACAGATTCAGACCGATGAGAAACTGTAACTGAAGATGCTGGCAATGAAGTTGAGAATGCAACAGCAGTCTTATTTAGAAATAATCGGCCAGGCGGGCAAGGGTCAACAAGAGGTACAACGAGTATATGCAGGAAATCCAGAAGACGTAGTTGAGAAACAAGCAGCATAAACACAGAACAAGGTGAGGAATAGGAAACACTAAACAAGGCTAGGATCAGGAATCATAGCAAAGGAAGCGCTTCATAAAACTAGAGGTTAATAAACAAACAGCAAGACTCAGCAAAGTGTGATCATTGGTGATCCGGAAACAGGTGTGTGTGGTGCATGATGGGATTTGTAGTTTATAAAGTGAAAGAATTGTAGTACCTGTAATGGTGCATGTTTACCAGCGATCTGCAAGCATAGCTGATGCTTGTAACAGCAACGGCCTTGTGTTGCTCAATACTCTCTCAAAGGGACTGGGATTGCAGCCAGGCTCACCGCTGCCCAGTGACTTCAGAATGACAGAGGACAATAATAATTTAAGCTGATAAAAAAAAAAACTTGAGAAAAATCACAGATTTATGCCAAACTTTCTTCTGTCAGCAGGTGGCGCTATGACTGGCAGGTAGAGAAACAGGCGAATGATCAATACAGGTAGCAGCACAAACACAAAACAAGGCAAGGAACAGGATACACTAAACAAGGCTTGGATCATGGCAAAGAAAAGCTTAGTAAAGTGACAAGTTAATAAACAAACAACAAGACTCAGCAAAGTGTGTGGGAATGTAAGCTGCATGAATAGTCCATGCAATCAGTCTTAGATCAGCTACCAGCTGTGTGTGTAATCATCAGTGATTTGGAAACAGGTGTGTGTGTGTGTGTGTGTGTGTGTGTGTGTGTGTGTGCTGCATGATGGGATTTGTAGTTTGAAAAGTGACAAAACTGTAGTCGGTATGATGGTGCATGTTTACCAGTGATCTGCAAGCCTCGCTGATGTTCGTGATAGAAATGTCTTGTGTTGCGCAATACTCTCCATCAATTAGGCCCATATTGGCTAATCGGGAGCACTGGGAGAATTCTGGGAGTTTTTTTTCACCGCATGCGCTTTTGACAGTGTTGTTATTCCACCGGGATGAAATATGAATCCTGTTCTTTGCTGGCTGTATTTCAAATCGTCAGATTAGTAGTAGGGTTGGGCGATGTTGACCAATTTGGCATCGTACTATGTGTTACGATTTTAAAGATGGTAATTCAAGGGAAAGAGGAGTACCATTATTTTTTGGGTGAAACACATAAGGAAACACACAATATCAACAAGTGAGGGACAAAATTCCTAGACCAGCTAAAGGCAATAAAGTGAGTTTATTTACAAAAATATAATAAATATAATAATATAATATCATAATATTATAAATGCCAAAAAAAATGTATATAGAAAGATCATTAAATATTTACAAAGACACATTGAATTTCACAGATAACAAATGATAATCTAATGTGAAACATCGCAATGGACGATGTCATCGTAGGCGGGGGGTGGGGGTGGTTGTTGTTAAATATCAATTAATAAATAACAAATGAATTAATTGTAGCCTACCGTTTCCACTACCTGACCCACATGGTCTGCTTTACCCATAATCAAACCATAAATTAATAAAGTTACACACAAATTATCACCTGTCAATCACTTTTTTTTCTGCGGGACTCTGTGTCGTTATCCGCTTGTTAAGTGTGACGTCATGCGAAGCGGCTTCCGGGTCCAATCGTTCTATTCAACTGTATGGGGAGAGTAATGAAATGGTAATAATAAACGTTTACAAAGCGATTTAATACTTTTGAAAATCACGATCACAATATATATGTCCATGCCTAATATCCGATGGCCAGAAAGTAATAAATTTTTTATAAATTGTTAAAACTTTGGTATTTGTTATTCAGCAAGCCCAGAGATTTTTGATAATAAACAAATAATTTCTCAACTCAAATGAGTGGCAGCTTGGACCCAGAAACAGTATTACATACGTCACCAACACATCACCACTTAACAAGCGGATAAGCAGCTTTTTCCCACAGCTGGTGGAGGAGACAAGAGTTAGTTTGGAGTTCACTGTAATTTGTTTTGTGATTGATGATAACTTTCTTATTTTATTAATATTATGAGGAAATAATAACAAGTAAAGATTCTAGGGCTCGACTGTTTTGGTCGCATATGCGCCCGAAATTGTATCTATGCGACCAAAAAATATATTTGGAAGCATTAGTGTTGGTGCATTTACATTTTCACTGTTTTCACTGCAAAATCCTCACTGTGTGCACAGATTTAGGAGACATTTACGCAGAATGCATCTTTGCACCTAAAAATGCCAAACGCAGCGCTCAGGAGCAGATAAGCAGTTGTTATATGAATTTGCTGAAGTAAAAAAAGCCTGCAATGCTTGCCCCGCCTTTGTGCTCTTCTTATTGGCCCACTGCTCTAACTGAATGCGAATGATTGGTTAATATCAGCTGTCAATCACTCAGTCAGTGCCTTCTGCCTTCAGGAGCTACAACCGCAGAAATGTGAAGCGCTGAAGATGACAGAATGAAAATAACACTGACATATCTGTGTTGTTTACCAGGGTGAGGGTGAAGGCGCGCGGTCAGTGCCCACCGGTCAGCTCGAGGATGTGGACTGTGGTCTGATCATCAGCAGTATTGGTTATAAAAGCCTCCCTATCGAACCCACTGTGCCCTTTGACCCCAGAAAAGCCATCGTGCCCAATGACATGGGAAGAGTGCAGGACGCTGAAGGTGAGAGGAGCATGAACATACAATCAAAATGATTATCCCCCTAGCTGCGTCCCGAATGGCACACTATACACTCATGCACTATGTACTTATGCACTTACACACTCAACAGGATAGTATATTTGTGTAGTTTCGTCCCAAATGGCACACTAATGTTTTTTTACTTAAGCGGAAATTCAAACCGTTTCCCTGATGGTGTTTGACGATCGTCAAATCAGTGAAATAAACGACCGAATTATCAAATAATACCTGCCGTGAGTATAACCGCATTCACCATCGGGAGGCGCTATAATCACTCTCGTAGGAGAATTTTGCTTTCACCATCCAAAATAAATAAAGATATTCAACATGTGCGTCCGATAGCTCCGCCCCTTCCGCTACGTAAGCAAACCTACGGTCGTTGAGTGCATGAAGTGTCCATCATTACACACTTCATTTTTGCGGCTGAATGAGTGCATCATCCGGGTAATTAAAGTGCACTTATTATTTTTAGAGTTTTCAGTGTGAACACACTACTTACACTATTTATACTACAAAATGGCGTAGAATAGTGCATAAGTAAGCGATTTGGGACGCAGCTCCTGTGAATTTGTCAAATATTTCCCAAAGTAATAATTTGCAGTAGTGTATTCACAAGTAAACATTTGTTGTTTTTTTTAGTTTTTGTAGTTAGAGTAACCTTCCTATTAAAATACTTATAATCAGACTACAGCTACTGTTATGGAATATATATTGTTTACACAAAGGAAAGTTATTTACTATTCACAGATATATATATATATATATATATATATATATATATATATATATATATATATATTTCATAATAAACAGCAAGAATGTCGTTGGTTCGAGTCCCAGTTAGCATTTCTGTGTGGAGTTTGCATGTTCTCCCCTGTGTTGGCGGGTGCTATAGGTGAATTGAATAAGCTAAAATAAGCTAAATTGGCCGTAGTGTATGAGTGTTTCCCAATATTGGGTTGCGGCTGGAAGTGCAACATCTGCATGAAACACATGCTAGAATAATTGGCGGTTCATTCTGCTGTGGTGACCACTGATAAGTAAGGCACTAACCCAAAGGAAAATAATGAATATTTTAAGCAAAATATCCAAAGATAAGAAGAAGTAGAAGAGAATATGTGGCTCTTTTTGGATTCTCGGAAGTTGTAGAAATTAAAAATGTAAAACAGGAAATACGTTAAGATCATTGTTTTTGCTTACATCCCTCAAAATTGTCTATATACCCCAATGACTGTAAAAAATATGGACGACGCGACAGCCCTTTTTCCCATTGAACGCCTTGAGGGCAAAACGCCTGCTTGACAGGCACAAACTGTCGCAAAAGACTGCTGAAATTGGAGCCTTGACATGCGCAGAAGGACTGTCTGATGGAGCCAGAGGAGGAGCGGCGGAAATGAGCAGAGTCGAGCTTCCAACCAAACGCTTTATGTAAAATCAACCACGCCCCCCGAACTTCTCAGCATGCGTTTGCTGTCATATCAACACAAATGGATGTAATAACGTTGACAAATATGAGGGTTTTATATATTCAATCGCGCCAGCTCCAGGCCGCAACACATAACCTACTCGCGGCGTCGCGGGCTGATTCCGGCTCGCATGCGGCAGCGCCGGCTCGCTCGGCCGCCGCATCTGGCTCGATTGACTCGGGCTGGAATCGGGCAGTGAGTCCAGGCATCTGGAGTAGGTCCAGCAGAGGTAACATTAGTCAGTCTGAGCTCTAAGAGATAAGTCTCCGGCAGGCGAGAATCTAGCCGAAACTGTGTTTTGCTATCGGGGTGGCTAGGCGTGTATCAGCAAACTAATAAAGCCCGAAAAAAGCCCTGAACTTAGCGAATAAACAGTGTTCCACCAGGATCATGTATGTCAGAAACTATAGTTTACTGCTGAACTCATTTTGTCATGGTAAAATAACACAGAAATCGAATAATAACATTTCAGTCTACTTCAGTCTCCTGCCGAAGCTCAGACGCCGCGCTTTGAGAAACTGTCAATCACAGCTGTCAATCACGATGACACGCCCAGCATTAAATTACTACTAAAAACAAACTGTTTAGAAAAATGAAGATCTGCACCTATTTCAGCACAATAACCAGTGCCTTAATCGACCAGAACTATCTTTCTGGACATTTTATTGCAAGTGTAATATTTTTTTTATTTGGGCTCAAGTCTCCTTCATTAACACGGAGGAGGCGGGCTTTATGACTTGTACTGCAGCCAGCCCCCAGGGGGCGATCTAACGGCCGAAACCTTCACTCAAACGTAGGCTTGCGGCACACTTGATATACCCATATATTTATCCATACAGTTGAAGTCAGAGTTATTAGCCCCTCTTTGATTTTTATTTCTTTTTTAAATATTTCCCAAATGATGCTTAACAGTGCAAGGATATTTTCACAGTATGTCTGGTAATATTATTTCTTCTGGAGAAAGTCTGATTTGTTTTATTTCGGCTAGAATAAAAGCAGTTTTTAAATTTTTAAACACCATTTTAAGGTTAAAATTATTAGCCCCTCTTTGATTTGTATTTCTTTTTTAGCCCCTTTAGGCTAATTTTTTTTTTTTGATAGTCTACAGAACAAACCATCATTATACAATAACTTGCCTAATTACCCTAACCTGCCTATTTAACCCAATTAACCTAGTTAAGCCTTTAAATGTCACTTTAAGCTGTATAGAAGTGTCTTGAAAAATGTCTGGTCAAATATTATTTACTGTCATCATGGCAAATATAAAATAAATCAGTTATTAGAGATGAGTTATTAAAACTATTAAGTTTAAAAATGTGTTGAAAACATCTTTTCTCCATTAAACAAAAATTGGGGAAAAATAAACAAGGGGGCTAATAATTCAGAGGGACTTCAACTGTATATATCCACATATTTTGCATAATAACTAAAGAATATTCCATTTATTCAACAGTTGCACGTGCCTTAAAAACAATGAATCAAGAAATGTGTTTGTGTATTATTCTTCAGGTCTGTACTGCAGTGGCTGGGTGAAGCGAGGGCCCACCGGTGTGATCGCCACCACCATGAATGACAGTTTTGATACGGCGCGTGTTATAATTCAGGACATGGAGACTGGAAAGCTGGATGTTTCAGTCAACAAACCAGGAGCAGAGGCCATAACTGGACTTCTGCAGACACGAGGTCCGTTTCACTTACAAGCAAAACACACCAAAACCTGTAGTAAGCTGCAGCGTCCTGAAACTCTCAGAAATTATTATTTTAATTAGAAAATTAAATATCAAATATTAGATTAGTTATTATTCTTTATGCATACTGATGAATTGCATATCTACATTACAATCATACTCTATTGGCAGCACATTGTTTATATATATATATATATATTTATATTTATATATAGTTGAAGGCAAAATTATTAGCCCTCTTGTGCATTGTTTGTCAAATATTTCCCAAATGATGTTTAACAGATTCAGGCATTTTTCACAGTATTTCCTATAATATTTTTTCTTCTGAAGAAAGTCTTATTTGTTTTATTTTGTCTAGAATAAAATCAGTTATTAATTTTTTAAATAATATTAAGGTCAATATTATTAGCCCCCTTAAGCAATATTTGTTTACAATATTGCAATATTGTCTGCAGAAGAAAACACTATATTCTTTAGATATTTTTATGTTGTGCGTTGACTTGTATAACTCCAAAAAAGAGATAAAACATGATTAATGGAAATAATTAAAAATAAAATTATAAAAGTTTATTTTTAATACTTATTTCATTGAAAGCTGTGATTACAGATTTTGTACCTTTATTTCTGAGAGTGTAACATGAACTCTAATATCTAATATGCTACTGAATATAAACACTTAAACAATGTGCTGCCAGTAAAGTCTGCTTCTATAGAAGACATGCAAAGCTTTAGTATGCATAAAGAATAATTAATAATATGCATATAAATATATATTCAAAAACATTATTGGGCAAAATAGTGCATTTTTAATAAAAATAACATGCTATGCTAGGTGGTAAATATCAATAAGTAAGTCTATTTGAGCAGTATTTCATAAGTATGATGGTATTTCAGTACCATATTACATAATAATGGGCAGCACAGTGGTGCAGTGGGTAGCACAATTGCCTCACAGCAAGAAGGTCACTGGTTTGAACCCCAGCTGTGTCAGGTGGCATTTCTGTGTGGAGTTTGCATGTTCTCCCCACATTCGCGTGGGTTTCCTCCAAAGACATATGGTATAGATGAATTGGGTAAGCTAAATTGTCCGTGGTGTATGTGTGTGAATGAGTGTGTAGTGAAGTTTCCTAGAGATGGGTTGCAGCTGGAAGGGCATCCGCTGTGTAAAACATATGCTGGATAAGTTGGCGGTTCATTCCGTTGTGGCAACCCCAGATTTATAAAGGGACTAAGCTGAAAAGAAAATGAGTGAATGAATAAATTACATAATAATAATAATCAGATAAATAGGACATACATATGTCATACAATAATGGGATTAATCTAACACATTTTCATTTTAATATTATGTTATAACAGTGTATAGATCATGCTTTTTTAATGTTCTGAAAATTGGAGATTAAGCATAATATTGCATAGACAAAGTCTGAGTAATGTCACAATAATGACAGCAACGGCAGGTATAATTTTTCATAATTATTCTAATCCATCCTTATTATTTAAGTGCATTTATGATCTAAAGAGATCAGGAGTGTTCATGAAAGTGCATTAGTCACTCTTGACAATAAATGTCAAGAGTCCACAGTAAAAGCATCTTCCCAACATTATGTTAAAGGGATTCAAATGATTGTTCACTCAAAAATGAAGAGGTGTGGCTTTATTGTGAATGTGGTGAACTTTTTTAATTGACATATTTTACCCAAGTAGGCACTTAGTCCACTTTTTCCACCACTGACTTATCAAAAACAAAATGTAACCTACTTTATTACAATTCTCTATAGCGTGATCAGTTGTTTAGTCACAAATTGTAGCTATATTATAAAGATATTAAGATGACACGCATAAATAATTATTTCTGGAGAATTGCTTTAAAGCGATGTGTGTTTTGAAAATAACCATGTAAATAATTTTGTAATCAATTCTTTAACACTAGATCATGGAGTTTATACCTTATATTTTTAGATTACTTATAGATTACTTGGGTAGATTACTTTAAAGTTGTAATCAGTTGGTAATGATTTTTTTTTTTTGTAAAATTGGTAGTCGCTATTATAGTCGATGTTATAGTAGTTATTATACACTCACCGGCCACTTTATTAGGTACACCTGTCCAGCTACTTGTTAACACAAATTTCTAATCAGCCAATCACTTGGCAGCAACTCAATGCATTTAGGCATGTGGACATGGTCAAGACCATCGGCTGCAGTTCAAAGCGAGCATCAGAGTGGAGAAGAAAGGGGATTTAAATTACTTTGAAGTGGCATGGTTGTTGGTGCCAGATGGGCTGGTCTAAATATTTCAGAAACTGCTGATCTACTGGGATTTTCATGCACAACCATCTCTAGGGTTTACAGAGAATGATCTGAAGAAGAGAAAATATCCAGTGAGGGGCAGCTCTGTGGGCGCAAACGCCTTGTTGATGCCAGAGGTCAGAGGAGAATGGCCAGACTGGTTCCAGCTGATAGAAAGGCAACAGTAACTCAAATAAGCACTCGATACAACCGAGGTCTGCAGAAGAGCATCTCTGAACACACAACACGTCCAACCTTGAGGCAGATGGGCTACAGCGGAACAGGAAACTGATGCTACAATTCACACAGGCTCACCAAAACTGGACAATAGAAGATTGGAGAAACGTTGCCTGGTCTGATGAGTCTCCATTTCTAGTGTGACAGTCGGATGGTCGGGTCAGAATTTGACATCAACAGCATGAAAGCATGGATCCATCCTGCCTTGTATAAACTGTTCAGGCTGGTGGTGGTGATGTAATGGTGTGGGGGAGATTTTCTTGGCACACTTTAGGCTTATTAGTACCAATTGAGCATTGTGTCAACACCACAGCCTACCTGAGTATTGTTGCTGACCATGTCCATCCCTTTATGACCACAGTGTACTCATCTTCTGATGGCTACTTCCAGCAGAATAACATGAAATGTCATAACGCGAGAATGATCTCTGACTGGTTTCTTGAACATGACAATGAGTTCACTGTACTCAAATGGCCTCCACAGTCGCCAGAGCTCAATCCAATAGAGCTATTTTGGATGTGGTGGAACAGGAGATTCGCATCATGGATGTGCATCCGACAAATCTGCAGCAACTGTGTGATGCTGTCATGTCAATATGGAGCAAAATCTCTGAGGAATATTTCCAGTACCTTGTTGAATCTTTGCCATGAAGGATTAAGGCAGTTCTGAAAGCAAAAGAGGGTCCAACCCGGTACTACTCAGGTGTACCTAATAAAGGGACAAGTTAGTGTATTTTTCACTTTCATTGTTATGTACACATTTTGAACTTTATATATTATTGTTTTATTACTATTATTATTATTATTTATTTATATTAGCATATTTCAATATACTTTATGGCTCCGTCGGGATAGGGTGGGTGTTCTTTGGTTGGTTTGCATTACTAATACAGTAAATATATATATATATATATATATATATATATATATATATATATATATATATATATATATATATATATATATATATATATATATATATATATATATACCCCTCTGATGACATGTACAGAGGGTGAATGTCAATCAAAGTGTTTCTGCAGACTGTTTTAATCAAGTCTAATTATAAATAATAGAGTTAATTAATATTTACCATTAAAAGCTGGTTGTATTCACACACTCTTCCCACTCAACTGTGTTTAAACCTCTTATAAAAGTGATTTTTGTATAATAGGTTCTCTTTAAATGTTACATTGCCATTAAAAAAGACATTTAGGCAACCTCAATTAAAGAAAAAATGCCTTTAATTTTAATGTTAAACACTGGGATTTGAGTATGATTAGGCTTAATTGTGTGTGTGTGTGTGTTATGATACTGTTGAAGGTAATTATGTGATGAAGCCAAAGGACTACTTTCCCACTTGTTGGTAATCAGGCAAAGTCAAGTCAAATAGTATGTGACCAACACAATTAAAGTATAATTTATTTATTTTAGCAGGAAAGCACTTCATTGTTTGCACATTTTAATCTCCTGTTGCATCATTTTATTGCTGTGTGTGTCGTGGGTTTGAACTGCAGCTGCAGGGTGTTTAGGACCAAACGGATGCTGAACTCTTCCAAGTTTTATCATGGAAACTTGTTTAGGGTCCAAGCGAATTCAAGTTGAAAGACACGACTGATAGAACAAAGGAGACCACCAAAGTTCATCTCTGTGTCTTGTCTGCCAGCAGGAGTGAGAATGGTGCTTTTTTCAGAGTGGGAGAAGATTAATGCAGAGGAGGAGAGGAGAGGAAAAGCGCTGGGAAAACCCAGAGAAAAACTCCTGGATGTTGAGAAAATGCTGAAGATCGCCTGGTCCTGAGATTCTCCCGTCTGAAACACTCCCAGAGTAAAACAATCTACGATCTGCTGACATCATGACAAAAAAACTGGGTTAGCTTTGAACCGTTTTCTGGATTTTCTCTCTCACGTGTTGTTTATATAGCCTGTTTGACGCATTTGTTTGACCCCGAAGAAATTAGATGACATCCTACAGGGTGTGTGTGAATGTTGTTAAACAAATGCATATGGATAATCATGATCGACCAAATATTTTAGTGAAAAGGGAAAGTTCACCCAAAAATGAAAAATTCCTTACTCTTTACTCACTTTACACTTAATCAGTTTCTTTTCTTCAGTTGAACACAAAAGAAGACATTTGGAAATAGTGCTGGAAAATAAAACATAGGAGGAACTAAAATACTGGGGATGCTTTGCAACATTCTTCAAAATATCTTCTTTTGTGTTCAACAGAAGAAACTAAATAGTTTTAGAACAAGTGGAGAATTAGGAAATGTTTTTGGGTGAACTATAGCCCTTTATCACTGGGAAAGCAACACCTAAATGACAAACTACACTGCAAAAAAAAAAGTATATATATATTAGGGCTGTCTCGATACTGGAATTTGGTACTAGTCGATACTAAAATTTAAAAAACGTCTATTGCTCGCTGTAAATCCTTATACTTGAGCGTTCTTAAACAGTGCTGATTGGATTGTGTTCATGTGCTCAACAGAAATGACTGTGATTGGCCGTGAAGGTCATCAGTTTACCAAACTGAGTGTAACCACAGATACAGGGACACTGGAGTATTTTAAAGCCGTTATTCATCAGCGGATCACTCGTATGTCAGCTTATAGACAAATAGACGTGACTTTGAAGCTTTTTAGTATGCCTGTATCTGTGTTTGCATTCAGTAAATAGCAGTGAGTTTGGTGAACTGATGACCTTCAGAGCCAATCACAGTCATTTCTGTTGAGCACGTGAACACAATGACCAATCAGCATTGTTTAAGAACGCGCTCAACAGCGATTAAATGTTCACGTTTTTAACATTTCAGTACCGATTGGTATTGAATTCCAATATTGAGACAACCCTAATATATATACACGTGTGTGTGTGTGTGTGTGTGTGTGTGTGTGTGTGTGTGTGTGTGTGTGTGTGTGTGTGTGTGTGTTTGTGTGTTTGTGTGTGTGTTTGTGTGTGTGTGTGTGTGTGTGTGTGTGTGTGTGTGTGTGTGTGTGTGTGTGTGTGTGTGTGTGTGTGTGTGTGTGTGTGTGTGTGTGTGTTTGTGTGTGTTTGTTTGTTTTTGTGTTTGTGTGTTTGTCATTAGGGTGTTGCTTTCCCAGTGATAAAGGGCTATAGTTCATCCAAAAACATTTCCTAATCCTCCATTTAGGTTTCTTCTGTTGAACACTCCTGTTTCTAGTCCAAATATGTAAAAATTATTAAATCAAGAATAAAAAAAATGTATCAAAATAATGCCCTGTTTTCAGACGAAAAATTATTTTGGCTATGAAGACATTTTAAAATGTTTGTCAAATGACAAACACTGCATCAAATAATAATAACAATAGTTTAAAAATATACATGTTTTAGTGAAGGGTCTGTCATTTGACAAAAATAATGTCTTCACAGCAAAAAAATTAATTAATAAAAAAATAATAATAATAAATTAATAATAATAAAAAAATATATAATAATAATAATAGTTTAAAATATACATGTTTTAATGAAGGGTCTGTTATTTGACAAAAATAATTTATTCACAGCAAAAAAATAAATTAATAAAAAAATAATAATAAATTAATAATAATAAAATATTTATAATAATAATAATAGTTTAAAATATACATGTTTTAATGAAAGGTCTGTTATTTGACAAAAAATAATCTTCACAGCAAAAAAAAATATTTAAAAAATTATTATTATTATTATTATTAATAGTAGCAGTTTTAGTTTTTAAGTTTTTTTAACAAAAAGGATTTTCTACACAAGTAAAAATATGTCTTGTTTTCTGAAAAAAAAAAATTAGTAACACTTTATTTTGATGGTCCATTTGAGTATTAGTAGGCTGTCTGCTTAATATCTGCTCCTTCAACAGAAATTTGACTGACTATAAGAAACTTTACAAGTACATGTCAACTTACACTAACCCTAACCCCAACCTAACAGTCTACTTACAATCTAATGAGAATTAGTTAACATGTAGATGCAATGTAAGAAACAGAGCATCAAAATAAAGTGTGTAATTTAATCATTTTTACTTATGTTGAAATTTTTCTTGATTTAAGAATTTTTACAAATTTGGACTAGAAACAGGTCTATATATGTATATTGTAGTGAAGAGACATTTTTATAGATTTACAGTGCTAGCTTTCACTTTGATTTTATAGATAAGAGAAACTGCATTTCATGGAAACATCTCTTACATTCCTCAAAGGAAACGGTTGTGAATATTATTTTAAGCAGAAAGTGTCAGCTTTAATAGATTATGCTGTCAGCGAGTTTAACCGGTTTGTGGAGTTCACTCCAAGAAGGAAGCACATGGACATCTTATAAACACTACTGTTTCCTTTAAAATGTAGAAATAGTTTTACCCCAAAATAATAATAAATCTGTCATCAATTAGTCATCCTTGATTTGTCACAAACCTGTTTGAGTTTCAAAATAGCTGCTATTGTGTTCAACAGAATAAAAGAAACGCTTAAAGGTTCGGGAACACGTGAGGGAGTAAAAGTGCAATCTTTAAGTACTACTGAGAATGAAGATGGACCAGTTGCTGTAAAAGCAGTTTATTAAAGCCACTTCCTCTTCATTTCATTCAGTCTATTCTCAGCTAAACAAACAGCGGTTGTGAAAGCTTGAATGAAAGCACTTGTAAAAACATTTTTGATGCATTAAATAGTATGCTTTGACACTCTTGTTTGCATACCGGATGTTATATGTTATGACTGTGTAATTTTGTTGTTTATAATATTGGATTACAGTCAGTTTACACAAATATGAATAGTCTTGATTCATTTTGTGAACATGTTTGGGGTTATTTCCACCAGGGTTTTGTTTACTTCATCATATTTTTTCTCACCAAAAAGACTTTTGATAATTTTCCTATGTAAAGTTTGACTTTTTTGTAGTTACACACTGATAGAAAATTAAAAGTTGGTGTTGTTACACGATGTAACGACAGAGAAGTATTGCAACTACACCCACCGGTCACTTTATTAGGTCCTCCAGGAACAAGTTTGGTGACCCCTGGTCTAGACAGTCAAAAGTTTGCACACATTTCCTTGTTATTTTTTAGCTTTGCTTTTAAACTGTATAACTTTGGTCAAATGTTTTGGGGATCCTTTCACAAGCTTCTCACAACAGTTTGAAGGAATTTTGGCCCATTCCTCCTGACAGAATTGGTGTAACTGAGTCAGATTTTGAGTCTGTCTTGCTCGCACAAGCTTTTTCAACTCTGCCCAAAAAATGTCTATAGGATTGAGATCAGGGCTTTGTGATGGCCACTCCAAAACATTCACTCTGTTGTCCTTAAAGCACATTTTCACTAATTTGGCAGTATGCTTAGGGTCATAGTCTGTTTGGAAGACCCATTTGTGGCCAAGTTTTAATTTCCTGGCTGATGTCTTGAGATGTTGCTTCAGTATTTCTATTGGATTTAGTTCTGGTCACTGTGGAGGCCATTGGAGTACAGTGAACTCACTTTTTGGACCATTCCCTGTAAATCCTAGAGATGTTTGTGTGTGAAAATCCCAGTAGATCAGCAGTTTCTGAAATACTCAGACCAGCCCGTCTGGCACTAGCAACCATGCCATGTTCAAAGTCACTTAAATCACCTCTAACTGCAGCAGATCGTCTTGACCATACATGCCTAAATGCATTGAGTTGCTGCCATGTGATTGGCTGCCATGTGATTGGCAGCTCAACCAGCCTAGCCAAGCTGGGAGTCAAGCCAAAACCAGCTATATCCAGCTTAAACCAGGCTGGTCAAGCTAGTTTTAGCTGGATTTGGCTGGTCATTTTCCAGCCTGACCAGCTAAGACCAGGCTGGAAATGGCTGGAAACCAGCCTGGAAATGGCCAAAACCCCTCTAAAACCAGGCTGGTCAACCAGCTAAAACCAGCCAACCAGCCTAGGCTGGTTTAAGCTGGATTTTTCAGCAGGTAGCAACAGAACAGAAAGTGGTTTAGTGTTTCTGGCTCCACACTGAGGACTTAATCAATCCCAGATGTGCATCATGAAGCAATTCTTCCTATACCAGCCTTAAAGAAAGAAGCTTTTATCCAGCTCTGCAATACTTTCAGATTCACAGCACTTCTCAAGTGGCATTAAGGTTTTTTCTTTCTTCTACGCTGGATATTTCCATTAACTCATGCTGAGCGTAACATAGACAGGCTCTCATAACATAGACATGAGCTAACCTTTCCTGTAGCTGCCATTAAATGTTGGTGAACATGCTATAGTGGCGAGAGGAGGAATTAAAAACACAGCACAAAGGCTGCGGATTCTCAAACAAACATCCCGGAGGGTGATTTATTCACAATATGCAGAAGGTGAAAGTGCAATGAAGGCAAGTAGTGCCCGGGAGGCTTCTGGCTGGTGAGTATGGGTGTATTCTGGGGTGTGCAAAAGGGTGCCGTCTAGGTGGTGTCAATCTTATCCTCTGGAATCTAGAGAGAGATATTAGCAACTGGGTAAGTCTGGAGTTTTGTAGTTCACCGAGTCTCTGCTGGCTTTCACTTATATCCTCCAGTGGCGCCCCCAGAAAATTTTCTTAGGGGTGGCCAAGTAAGGCCACAACAAATCTTGTGGTGGCACACAAAAAAATTATGAATTGTGTATATATTGTGAATAAGGAGTAATGTTATATTTTTGTTTTTGGTAAAAGAAATAATGACGTTTTAATGAATTCCAGTAATTACTCTTGAAATAATGTAATTTATTCCGCAAGTACAAGTGCAAACCAAATAAAAATCAATATTTAGTCTAAAACCTCTATCAGGTAAGTTATTTCTTGTACAACATACAATATATGCCATGTCTAACATTAATGAATTATGAATAATGAATATGATTAAGGAATGAATTAATAAACCAAACAAAACCCAACAAAATTTTGAAAAGCAGATTTCAAAATGCATCTAGTTATTTATTTTGGATTTGTGGTTTTCAATCAGATGAAACACAACTTTCTCGTTTCAAAAATAATTTCTTAATAAAAAGTGTGCAATCTCAGTGAATCAGCTTCGTCAGTGGTGCTGATCAATCCACAATAATTTAGTGGCTGCATTTTATTTATTCATTTATTTATAGAAGTATTGTGAATTTAAGTAAATACATTTAAATTAATAATATCAGCAACTATCATATTGGGGTGGCCACAGGGGTGGCCAGAGTTTACACAAGGGTGGCCGTGGCCACCCCTTGGGGGCGCCCCTAATATCCTCTCCAGGCTCTCCCGCTGATTGCTTGCAGATGGTGGTGGTGGTTGGTACTGATGAGGTGAGTCCAGGTGACGGGTATTTGGCTCTCTGGCAACGTAAGAAATGAGTACTCGCCACAACATCTACACACATGTGTAAACATATAAAGCGCTCAACATAAATGAGTACAGCCCTATTTTCAAAAAAGATATACACTCACTGGCCCTTTTATTAGGTACACCCTACCAGTACTGTGTTGGACCCTCTTTTACCTTCAGAACTGCCTTAATCCTTCGTGGCAGAGATTCA